ATACTGCTATCTTGGTATTTATTCCTCAATATTCCTAAGCAATGAGTGGAACATAAAGCCCCAAACAGACCGAAATTCTTAAGTTTGAATCATAGAATCCTTTTTTTTTTTTGAGACAGAATCTTACTATGTAGTTCAGTCTGTCCTTAAACTCACGAGCCCAGACTGGCCGCAAACTTGCAGTAATTCTCCTGCCTCAGCCTCCCAAGTGCTAGGATTACAGGTGTATGCCAGCATGTCTGGCCTGAATCATAGAATCTTAAATTTATGTTTTAGCCCATCTACTTCTAACTTAAATGAGGAAACTAAGGCCACATGGATGAAAGCACAATATATCCAAATAAACAGCAAAACCAAGTGTTTGAACTCCCAAATTGAATACTGTCTACATTGTTTCAGAGTAGTATTTTGGCCATTAAGTTTGATAGACAAGCAGCTTCCTCTGCTTCTGTATAACTCTTCCCTGAAAACTTACCTGGAATAAATAGACCCCTCATACATGGCTGGTGGGAATGTAAATGGTATAGGCTCTGTAGAAAACAGGCATTTTTCTTTTTATTTTTTTTTCTGGTACTGGGGATCCAACTCAGGTCCTTGCGCTTGCGAGGCAGGCAGCGGAACCACTGAGCTAAATCCCCGGCCCAATTTTTCTTGTAAAATTGAACATATACATATCCTGTGACCCAGTAACTCCTCTTCTATCCAACAGAAATAAAAATGTAAATCCCTGAAAACCTGTACCTGATGAAATAGATAAAAGGCATAAGAACAGTATCATAAGGTTCTTTGGGCTCAGAGGAAGGAAGGATTACATCACTGGGTTGAATAGATTGAGGAAAGTTTCATGGTGTCGTGCCATGAGGTGAACTTCAGGATTAGGTAGGCGCCAAGAATTAAAATTCTGCAATTAAGGAAAACATTCCATCAATTTAGGCAAGAATAAAGGAAAAGCCTAGATTAGAAAAATCTAGTCTTGCCAGTCATGGTGATTCATGCCTGTAATCCCAGCTACTTGGGAGGCTGAGGCAGGAGAGTTGCAAGTTGAACAACACCCTGGGCATCTTAGTGAGAAACTATCTCAAAGTAAAAATGTTTTTAAAAAGGGCTGAGAATATAGCTCAGTGTTGGAACATGCACAAAGCCATGAGTTCAATTCCTAATAGCAACAACAGTCTCATCTGGTTATGTTAACATAAAATTGTTCTGTATTTCAAACTGAAGAAATAATGAAAACTGAGGATGGAAAGATTATAGAAAGCACTAGTGAATGTGAGGAATGAGATGACCACAAATTCAGTAGGGAGGGATACATACATTTAAGTGGGGTAGATTACATAAGGGAGCTTTCTTTCTTTTTAGGGGGTGGGGCAAGAAAGGGCATTATAATAAAGTTCATTTTATAAAATGCAGTGGTTGTTTCAGGAAAGAATCATCAGTGAATCCTAAACTATTGACTGAATGCTTGTTGGAATTTCACACAGTCTCTCAAAGTATCCCCCTATTTATGACTTATTCACTATAAAGGAAAAAGTAGGGCCTGGGGTATAGTGCAATGGTAGACTGTTTGCCTCACATTCAGAGGCCCTAGGTTTGACCCCCAGCATGAGAGAGATACAAAAAAATATATATAATTTATAATAGAGAAATCTGACAATTATTAACTAACTGGTCAAATATAACATAACCCATCATGATAATAGAATATATTACAAAACAACTATCCAGGCATGGCAGTACTGTACATGGCTCTAATCCCAGCTACTTTGGAAGCTGAGGCAGGAGGATCAAAGTTCGAGGCTACCCTGGGTAATTCAGTAAGACACTATCTCAAAATAAAAAAAAGCTCGGAATGTAGCTAAATGGTAGAGCATCCCTGGGTTCAATCTCTAGTACCACAAATAAGTAAAAATGAACTCATGAGTTGTTTGGTTTTTTGGGGAGGTTTTGGTACTGGGGATCAAACTCAGGACCTTGCACTTGCGAGGCAGGCGGCAGCACCACTGAGCTAAATCTCCAGCCCATAAATAAAAATGAAAAAGAGCTGGATATGTAGCTCAGTGTGAGGCTTTGAGTTCCATCCCTACTACTGAAATCACACACACACACACACACACACACACACACACACACACACACGGAGAACTACCTGAACTTTTCTACAATATCAATATCTTTTTTTTTCCAGTACCGGGGATCAAACTCAGGACCTTGTGCTTGCAAGGCAGGCACAGTGCCCCTGAGCTAAATCCCCAGCCCTTACAATATCAATATCTTGAAAGACAAAAATAACAATTATTCTGTTTCTAGATTAAGAGAGATAAAAACTGTGACCACTAATATTATTCGTGTACTTGATTGATTTCTCTATCCAGTAACAAATATCCTTGAGTTAAATTACTGAGGCAAGACTGAGGATTTAGCTCAGTGGTTTCGCTGCCGGCTGCATAAGTGCAAGGACCAGAGTTCAATCCCCAGTACAAAAAAAAAAGCAAAAAAAAAATTACTGAGGCAAGTAAGCAAATTTGAGATAGAATATATATTAAGATACATTTTGAGGCCAGGGATTTAGCTCAGTGGTTCCACTGCCTGCCTCACAAGCCCAAGGACCCGAGTTTGATCCCCGGTACCAAAAAAAAAGGAACATTTTGGGCTGGGGATTTAGCTCAGTGGCACTGCACCTGCCTCACAAGCACAAAGTGCTGAGTTCGATCCCCAGAACCAAAAAAGAAGATACGTTTTGATGGAGAGAGGGAGTCTCATGATGTAGCTGGCCTCAAACTTGTGACCTTCCTGCCTCAGCCACCAGAGTGCTGAGAGTGCAAGTGTGCACTGCCACACCAGTGTGCATAACATTTTTATATCAGTGTTAGTGTCTTGGTCTCTTCACATAAAAGACAGTTCTTGTTCTTGAGAGACGTGCTCAAGTATTTAGGGGGTGGATGAAGGTCTCGATGTCGACAGTGTTCAGGTATTTCACAGAAAGTGTGCATATGTTGAAAAATGTTAATGAATTTAGGCAATGGATATTGTATTTTGAAACTTCAAAATAAAACAAATTGGAGCGATACAAAAAAGGTAAAATGTTTCTTCTATTGTTACCATGGAATTAATGTTTGAAATACTTTGTTAAAGACATTTACAAAATTCCATGTACTTGTCACTTAGCTTCAACGTTTGAGATACATAGCAGTTTTGCTTCATTCCCCCATCTGCCCATTCCTGTCAAACATTGAGCTATTTTGAAGCAGATCCTAGACATAATTTTGTTTGTAAGTACTTAGGGATCATTGTCTTTTAAAAACAAACTGTAACAACAATCATGTACTACGTGTGTGTACCCATCTCCCAACTCGACAGGCATCAGCTCTAGTGCAGTCTTACTAAGCCTGCATCATTCCACATACACGTATTACCTTGAAGTAAACCTAAGGCATTGAATGGAACATTTTTAAAGAAGCTTTTCCATTTTCCTCTTTTAAAAATATTCACATGAATAAAATTATAATATGCCAGCATTCATGAAAGGCTTCTTGAAACCACTTTAGGAGTACAACAGTATTCATGTCTCTAAATCTTGTATTTTCATTCCAATATGACTAAGATTTCATCATATTGGCAGATAACATTTTTCTGGAGATTTTACACTCTACTGATCCCAAATTGGATGCTGCACGAGAAGTTTTAAAAAATGTTGAATACCGTAATCTGTACAAATATGTGGGTGAGACCCAGCCTGGGAAACGAAAGATTAGAAAGGTAAGTTAGCAAGCATCTTCTTATTGGTGAAAGGTTAGCACCATCTCTGCTGTCCAGTAGGAAGCCATTAACCTGTCACAATTCAGAGCAAGGCAGTATCTATGGACCCGTTCTGCAGATGGGAAACCGAGGCCCGGGTGAGATGAAATAACTTGCTCATGGGAACACAGGCAGGTCCAACTCCAAACCTTTGTTCCCTCATTCAGGAAGAGAGAAGGGGCCTCCAATTTTGTCTAGAGACTTGAGCACAGGAAAATAAATATCAGGGGGAAGACCCTGAAAATAAAGCACCTACATAAGCTTCATCGACTGAGGAACTGTTTGAACTACAGTTGACTCAAACAGTGCTGGGGCACAAAGTGGTGACTTCTATGCAGTAAAATATTCTCTGTAACTTTTGGCTACCCAGAAACTTTACTGATAGCCTGCTGTTAACTGAAAGTCTTACTGATAACATTAAAGTCGATTAACATATATTTGTATATATATATTATATACTGTGAACAATATGAGAGAACTGGGAGAGATGACTTTTCACCACAATAGACAGTTTACTAGAGAGACACTGCTCAGATAGGGATGATTAACACCACAGTGAGTTTTGAAGGGATGCTTACAACACCTGACCTCACCACAGTAGCAATAGGAGGTGGCTGGGAAATTGTTAACAGTACTGTAATATGTGCTACAGTTAGGTTTAGGAGGTTATGATTCAATCCCACATCATTACAATTGTTTACATTTCTCTCAACTTGCAATGGAGCCACATATGGTCTGTATGTGTACATTTTGACAAAATTTAACTTTGTATAGTAGATTATTATATATTCTGTGGCAGTAAATAACATTTTCTAATATCTTTATAATTTATGCATTCATAGCATACCTTTTTCTCAGTTTTTTCCATATTGTTAAGCTTGCAGTTTGTCCACAATTTTTTTTCAAATTGTCACATATCTTAAAAAAATATATATCCAGATGTAAGTGGACCTGCATTGTTCAAGGGTCACCTGTACTTAATTCCTTCACAATATATCTGTTCTCCCAGCTGGCATGTGCTTGTCTTTTTTAGTTCAGATATCTGTTTTTGCCTCTGGCTTCTTAAAGGTTTTTCTATTTGACAGAAACCCATAACAAGAGACAACTGATGTGTTATTATTACCTCATAATAATTTCTTGGGTTATACTTTACTTTCTCTTGTTTCTGTAGTAGATTGATGCTATTTTTTTTCAAAATGTGCAATTTTCTTATGAAGATTGCTCTATTTTCTTAAAGGATAGCATAGGTAGGAGCTGTAACTATCAGGGATATATATCTCTAACCATTTTTCCTAGTGAAGTGCCATTTTTAGAGAGTGAATGTATTTGTGACACAAATCCTTAATGATGAGGCTGGTGATTTAGCTCAGTGGTTCTGCCACCTGCCTTGCAAGTGCAAGGACCTGAGTTTGATCCCTGAGACCAAAAAAATTAAATTAAATTAAATTAAAAAAAACTTAATGATGAAAAATTGGGTTTTAACATGGGGATCTCATCTTTTCTAGGAAGATTACGAACACCTTCCAAAAGAGGTTGCTGACTCTAAACCTAAGGATATGGTCCTGGAGGCTGAAATGAAGGCTGAAGATTTCATAGTGGATGTAAGTAGTCAGCCCAAGAATAGACTAAGTAAAGAATTTAAGATAGGGCCCAGGGATTTAGCTCAGTGGTTTCACCGCCTGCTGCGGAAGCGCAGGGACCCGAGTTCAATCCCCGGTACCAAAAAAAAAAAGAAAGAAAAAGAAGAGGGCTGGGGATTTAGCTCAGTGGTTTTGCTGCCTGCTGTGCAAGCGCAAGGACCCGAGTTTGATCCCCAGTGCCAAAAAAAAAGAAGAATTTAAGATAAAGCCTCCCTTTGTGATAAAAGTAATATATATTCATCATAAAAACTTGGCTAAATACAGAAAGAAGGAAAGAAGAGAATCAGCTGTGATCTCACAAAGAAAACTAACATTATTAAGCAGTTTTAAATTTTTCTTTGTAAATTTTGCCAGTATTTTTAGTATAATTATGGTCATGTGATAATAGAACCTTGAATATATTGATCTAAAAATTTTTTGAGCTGGGCATGGTGGTACATGCCTGTAATCCCAGCAGTCTGGGAGGCTAAGACAGGAGGATGGCAAGTTCAAGCTCAGGCTGTGCAATTTAGCAACTTAGCAAGACTCTGCCTGAAAATAAAACATTAAAAAAAAAAGAAAAGATTAGGGTTGTAGCTCAGAGAAAGGAGACAGAGACAGAGAGAGAGAGAGAGAGAGAAGAAAGGAAGGCAGGAAGGGAAAAAGGGATGGAGTAAAATCAAAAGTGACATGTGCTAATTAGTTTGTCTATATACATACTCTAAGGTATGTAAAAGGTTTTTTTATTTCTATTTTCATAGAGGCCACATGTCTTGTAGCCTGATGAGAATACCAATCAGCTTTCTCATGTTTTATGTAAGAAATTATTTTCAGAGTTTTACGCCTGAAATCTCAGGAGGGTATTTTCCTTGTAATTTTTCCATAAGCCTCTCCTTTGTTACTTTCGTTTTTAGTTCTTTTATTGGTACATTTTAGGTATACAATTCATTTACATTTATCATTGGGTGTTTGTACCTGTACATGATGTATCTTGGTTTTTATTTTTTTTCCCCAGTTACCTGTGCACCCTTCAGCCCCTCTGCCCTTCCCTATTTACATAGATTTAATTTCCTTTTTTTTTCTCTTTTCTCATAGTTTTTCCTTTCCCTCTTTTCCTTTCCCCTTCCCCTCTCTTCACTCCTTTGTCTTTGGACCTTTTTTCCTATTTCAAATTATCAATTATTCATTTTAATCATTTTAACCCTTGTTTACACTATCAGTTTCTCACACTAGTGAAACTATTCAGTATTTACACATGTGTGTCCTATTTATTTCACTTAAGAGTATGGCCTCGATATGCATCCATTTAGCAATAAATGACTCTAGTTTTTTGTTCTTTGTGGCTGAGTAGTACGCGATTTTATAGAAAAAAAAACCACATTTTCTTTATCCAGTTTCCAGTTGATAGGCACTTGGGCTGCTTCCAAACTTTAGCTATTACGAACTGTGCTGCTATGAACATGGGTGCACATATATCACTGTGGTATGATTCTTTTAATTCTTTTGGGAAGATACCCAGCAGCGGAATAGCTGGGTCAAATGGGACCTCTAGTCCTAGTTTTTTGAGGTATCTCCATACTGATTTCCACAGTGGTTGCACCAGTCTGCACTCCCACCAACAATGGAGAAGGGTTCCTTTCTCTCTATACCCCCGCCAGCATTTGTTATTGGTTGATTTCTTGATAGCAGCCATTCTTTGTGGGGTGAGGTGGAATCTCAGTATTGTATTCATCTGCATCTCTCGAATGACCAGTGATGTTGAACATTTTTTCATATATTTGTTTGCTGCTTTTCTTTGTTACTTTCTTGACACATCTGGAGTGAAAGGTGAGCTCTGTGTAACCACTCTTTGCCATAGAGACGGAGTGGGTCCACTGTGTGTTTCCTCGGCTGATACTGAAGTGCACAGGTCCTCAGATCAAGGCACAGTTTTCTGTTTCCTTAGAGGAGAGGCCGCGAGAGTAGAGGGATCTCTTGCATGGCCTTTCTGTGTCTCTGAAAGACTTCACTCCCTGGAGTGATTTCCCTGGGCTCTCTCTTGCATGTCTGCCCTAGGCCTCTCTGCTCTACCTGAGGCTCTGGGCTGTCCAGATCAATCCTAGTCCACCTCTCAACTTCCTATCTGGTTTTTCTCCCAAAGTACAATCTCCAAAAGGATGTAGTACTTGAAGAGGCTCATGTAGGAAAAGACACACACATCATTACCAGACATAGAAGAACTTTTACCTTACCAGTACTCTGAGAAAGGCAAGTTAATGCAGCAACAAAGTTTTTTGTTTCTTTGTTTTTTTACATCAGACTCGTAAAAACAAAGTGTTATAAAATTCTTTGTTGATAGGGTATGTGAAAAGGGGAGTGTAAATTGGTACAAGAAACCAAATCAGAAGAATGTTCCAGAATTGTAGATGACAAGCCCAACATGGTGGCGCACACCTATAATCTCAGCACCAGGGAGGCAGGGGCAGGAGGATCACCCCGAGTTTGAGAGCAGCCTGAACTACAAAGCAAGACTCTGTCGCAACCCCCCGCCCCCAAATGTAATTGATAAAGCAGCTTTACTCTAGGAATTTGTCCCAAGGAAAGAATCACTTTTGTGCAGACCATATACCGTCCTCTCAGTAGAAGCTTTGTCCTGGCTCAGTCTTCCTCTCTGCTCCGTTCCTGTCCTTATCCTGAGTGGCTTCATGGCCACATGGAGCCAGTTCTTTGAGGTCTTCATTTTCATCCCCAGTGACCATACCCACTTCACCTCAGCCAGTGCTCCAGCACAGTACACCTTGGATATCGTCACCATTTGAAACTACTCTCTTTTTAAAAATCACTCATTTAAACATCTTGTTTTCTGTCCTCAATTTGTCTCCTTTTAATTTGCTTGTTCCTAGCACATCAGAACCTCTTATTTTCTTCTCCTCACTTTTTTTTGTTTTTGTTTTTGTTTTTTGGTACCAAGGATCGAACTCAGGACCTTGTGCTTTCGAGGCAGGCGGTGGAACTTCTCCTCACTTTTTTAAGTTATTAAGTTGTTCAGGCTGGGCTCAAACTTGTGATCCTCCTGCCTCAGCCTTCCAGAGGGCTGGGATCACAGGCATGTGCCACCGGGCCTGACTGCCAAAATCTGAAACTTTCTGAGTGCTGATATGATACTCAAATTATTGGATTTCGGAACATTTTGAATTTGGAGTTTTTAGATTAGGAATGCTAATAAAATGTGGTAGTCCATGCAGATGTTCCAAAATCTTAAAAAACCTGAAATTTGAATCCCTTCTGGTTCCAGGCATTTCAGATAAGGGATACTCAACCTATACCCAGAGAGGGATATATAGTACCTCACAAAGGTAGGGGGAGACAATTTGCAATGAGTTTGATCCTAAAGGAGAGGCAAGGGATGAAGAAGAGTAGTGTTTGTGATTTTCTTAAGATCAAAGACTATCTAATTGCTGTGAGAAAGCCCAGAGGAGGGAGGAAAGAATTGATGGTGTGAGGTCCCCCAGAAGTAAGGAATGCAGCTAGCTCTACGCCTGCACTGTCTACTGTAGGGCCCACTGGCCATGGTGGGGTTTTTTAATTTTTGTTTGTTTGTTTGTTTATTTATTTTAGATGAGGATCTCACTGTTCTACTTAGACTGGCCTCAAACATTTGATCCTCTTGCCTGTGCCTCTTGAGTAGCTTGGATTACAGGCAAGCACCCCCATGGCTGGCAAGCCTTTTAAATTTAAAAAAATTAACATCGAAAACAATAAAAAATTCAGTTCCTCAGTTGCAATAGTCACTTATTAAGTGCTCACAAACCAGCATAGATTGCACACTTGTAATCCCCATACTCAGGAGGCTGAGGCAGGAAGATCACCATGAGTGTGAGACCAACCCGGATTACATAGTGAGTTCAAGGCCAACCTGAACTACATGGTGAGACCCTGTTTCAAAAAACAAACCAAAGGCCAGGGATTTAGCTCAGTGGTACTGCACCTGGCTTGCAAACACAAGGTCCTGAGTTCGATCCCTGGTACCAAAGCAAAACTGGGCCAGGGATTTAACTCAGTGGTACTGCACCTGCCTTGCAAGCTCAAGGTCATGAGTTTGATCCTTGGTACCAAAAAAAAAGAACCAAGCAAATAAAAACAAAAAAATGTATATCTCAGCTTGCATGGTGGTACATGTCTGTAATTCCAGCTACTTGTGAGGCTGACACAAGAGGATCACAGGTTTGAAGCCAACCTGAGCAACTAACTGAGACCCTGCCTCAAAAAGTGGTAGAGCATTTGCCTAGCATGTGCAAGGCCCTGGGTTCCATCCCCAATACTGTAGGAGAAAAAATACACATACAATGTCTGTCCCATAGTAGGTATTGTCTTTATACCCTACTTATATTGAACACACAGTCCTTTTTCCCCTCACCCCAGATTTCTAAATGAAATTCCTATGGGTGGTCATGTGTCAAAGTTATTTTTATTACATCATGTTGCAACAACTTACTAGTGATCTTACATAACCCCCAGAGGGCTCTGTTCCATTTCTGTTTTTTTATGTATGTATGTATGTATGTATGTATGGTACTAGGGATTGAACCCAGGGGTGTCTACCTCTGGGCCACATCCCTAGCCCTTTTTATTTTTTAATTTGAAACAGTGTCCTACTAAGTTGACAGGACTCAAACTTGTGATCCTCTGCTCAGTCTCAGTGCTGGGATTACAAGCATACACCATTACACCCAGCTCATACCATTTCTTGTGATGCCCCTACAACCCTGACTTCTCCTTCTTATGTGATTACTTATTTATTACTTTTATCAAGGTCATCAACATGGATTACGGAATGGAAGACAAGAATCCAATTGATCATGTTCGCTTCTATTGTAAAAGTGACCCTCGCCGAGCAATCATGATTACTAGAAATCAGGTAATCACTTAGGTAAAATAAATATACTATAGTAGTTCATATTGGGCAAGTCTTTATAGTAAATTTGCATTTTACATTCAGTTACGTTCTAACGTCAGTGCATACAGTTTTTAAAAGGGTATCTTTAGGCCAGGGATTTAGCTCAGTGGTTTCACTGCCTGCTGTGCAAGCACAAGGACCCGAGTTCAATCCCTGGTACCAAAAAAAAGGGTATCTTTAAAGTATATGTGTAGGGCCGGGGATTTAGCTCAGTGGTTCTGCCATCTGCCTCACAAGTGCAAGGTCCCAAGTTCGATCCCCGGTACAAAAATACATAAATAAAGTATATGTGTAGATAAGACCAGCTTAGCCAATCTTTCCTTTTTGGTAAACATCAGTGAAAATGCCCCTGTTCAGAGGTTTGGTTACAAATTTGGTGGGAGGTGACTGCTCTATGGTTGAAATCATGTAAGTTAAAGTGCTTACTTACATGTCTCCTGTTATATGTAATTATGTACCACAAACCCTTAATCTTTTATTAACTGGTGTAAAATGGGGCATTTTGCAATGTGACAATTATCTTGATTTTTTTCCCCTTTGGATTATAATTGGGATAAAATACCAAAGCAATGTGTGCTTTTAAGCATCAGATATGGTACTCAGGAGCCTAGATACAGAAGCAGATACTTCTCTGATGTGTGAATTCAGAGTGACAGCAAAATCTTTCCTTTTTTAAAAAAAGGTCTCACAGCTTCTGCCAGAGAGATTTGCAGAGCAGCTTATTCGTGTATATTGTAAGAAGAAGGATGGAAAGAGTTTGTTTGCTGCAAAACAGCACTTCGTTCAATGGTGTGCAGCCAATGACTTCACAAAGCCACAGGTGAGTGTTTTAATCACACTTTGCAGTCTTTAATTTTTAAGGAAAAACTAGTAGAGACAAGTTCTTATTTTATTTGTAGCTATGGGGCTATTGATATAGCTCAGTATAGAGTATTCCCCCAGCATGCACAAGACACTGGGTTCAGTCCTGAGCACCACAACAAATGATGCATAAATATAGCCATTTGGTTGTGGTTTTGAAAATACTCTTTCACCTTCTTTCCCTTGAAAATGTATGAATCTATGTCAACCAGTGATTTCTTCCTACACTAGTTGGGAGTAGATACTCAATTGATCATCACTGTCCTAATTATAATAATAATAATAAACATATGAATAGTGCTTTATAATACTCTCACCAGTTGTCTTATCCTAGTCCTCCTGATGACCCTGGGAGATGACTTACAGTGTCCCCTTTCAGAGGTTTTCATAGCTGAGTAGTTAACTTATTTAAGGCAACATTCAACTGGTAACAATTTTTTTCTTGTGTTTTGTTTTGTCATGCTGGGTATCAAACCCAGAATCTTTAGTATACTAGGCAAGTGCTCAGCCAGTCTAATAACAAGCTTTTAAACTTTATTTCAAGTTCAGTGTTCCCAAACCTGGCTATTTTGATGTCAGTAAACTAAATTCTCTAGAATGAAAATAAAGAGACAGAGGGCCGGGGATCTAGCTCAGTGGTTCAGCCACCTGCCTCGCAAGCGGAAGGACCCAAGTTCGATCCCCAGTACCAAAAAAAAAAAAAAGAAAAGAAAGAGACAGAGGAGACAATCTGCAGTTGCTAATCCTATGAAGAATGTTGTTAAAATTGTCCCTATTGATATCCCATAGATGTCAAGCTTAGAGAAAGTGGCCATTCAATATTGGTTGATTGCCAGGTGTAGTGGCACACACCTGTAATCCCAGCACTCAGGAGGCTGAGGCAGGAGGATCGCTGCAAGTTTGAGGTCAGCCTGGGCTACATAGAGAGTTCAAGGCCAGGCTGAACTATATAGTGACACCCTGTCTCAAAAAAAATACTAGTTGACTGATTGGGTGAATGTAATTGACAAGCGGTGGCTATAGCACTCTACCTCCAGGAATAGTTGCCTTTTTCCCTGAACATCGGGTGCAAAGGGGAACAAAGCCCAGGGCCCAGCGTGAAAGAGCATCTCAGTAAGTCAGTGCTAAATCAAGTGCCACGGTGTGAAGGAGGTTTGCTCTGAGAGATTCGAGTGCTGTCTAGCTGTGGGGAAGCCATGTGAAGAGGGAGGAGCTGCCGACCCAGGAGCCAGATTGCACCAGGCTGAGTAAAGGAAGAAGGCAAATATGTCTTACTATGGGAGCAGCATAAGCAGAAACATGAAACAAGCAAGTCAAGAGTGAAGGGACCATGAGACCTCTCTGGTCACAATATAAGATTCTTATTGTCAAGTGGTGAAAAGTCAAGTAGGAAGAAAGGACTATGATGCAGAACCTTGGATAACTGGCTAAGGAAGAGGATTTTTTTCTTATTTGCAGTGAGAAGGAATCATTGAGAGTACCCAAGGCCTACCTTGCTGCTGGAATTATTTGCTTGTGTCCTTGTTATTGTGTGTGTTAACTAAAACACTGACCACACTAGCTGCAGATGGATTGGAACTTGAGGAGGCTGGAAGCAGGGCCTTAACATGTGGTGATAGGGTAATAACTGCCTTAAATCTAGACACATTCACTCACTGAATATTTTTTGCCAGGCTCTGTATTAAGTATCAGGGATGGATCAGTACCTATGACACACGTAGTTCCTTAGTCCCCTGGGTGTCGCTCTAGTTGGGGATAACAAGCACACGAGACAGTGACAGTTGCAGTAGCATGGTAAGTGCTTTGGAATAGGCCAGTACAGAGTCTGAGAGGAACAGAAAGGAGGAAGATCTAGCCAGACCTGATTGATTGGGAAAATCCTATCTAAGGAAGAGCTTAGCAGCTGAGACCTAAAGAGTCAGTGAGCAGGCAGAGCTCTATAACTGGTTGGGAGAGGTGTTGAGGCAGAGACAGCATGGGTTGGGGCAAAAGATGAGAGAGGATATGGTGCCTTTCAGGGAGGAGCATTGAGTGTGAGCTGTCTGAAGTTTTCTACTGAGTTCAGTCAGCCAAGAGCAGCTGGGAGCCATTGAATCAGGGAGAGTAGCATCTTTAAGTTTGCATTTATAACATTCACTGTGTTGAAACCAGAAGTGTTATATACATGTACTAACTCCCCTTGATGAATATAATCATTATATACTGCAAATGTATACTAATAAGAATAAAAATTTTAAAAAAAGAAGTAAGGAGGACTGGGGATATAACTCAGCAGTGCAGCACCTGCCTGGCAAGCACAAGGCCCTGAGTTTGATTCCCAGTACCAAAAAAAACCCAAAAAAAATCAAAGTAAGGAAATGTGATAGAGATGACTTTGAGTAATGTTGACTTAGACATAGGCAGGTCTGCAAGTGTGAGACCATGGCCATTAAACATCAGCTTTTAAAAGCTCTATCAAGTCAGATCCAGTGTAGTTCAACAGAAGGAATTTTACACAAGTGATGAGATTGAAAAGTCTTGGCAGAGCTAAAAGAGCAAATGGAGGCCAGTGAGACAACAGCAGGAAGCTGCTACTGCCTCCTAGGAGAGACCAAAGGAACAGGTGGTTGTCCAGGAGCCGGGGCCCTTGGAGAAGCTGGACCCACAGAGGGTCACAGATGCTGGTGCCTGTGCCAGAGAAGTGGGGGAAATACCCTGGCCCTCTCCTCCTCTCCCCTCTGGTCTGTGTCCTTGTTATTGTGTATGTTTGTAGTGTGAGAACCATTTGCACCTCCCATTGGACCTTGGCTTCTCTCTTGGTTGGTCCTCTGTGAAATACATGGCCCAGGTCTATGAGATGCCAAGAAAAGGGGAAGGAGAGGATGTACCTGCTGAACATTAATTTTTCTCTGGAAGCCAGTAGGTATAGGAGCTGGGGAGGGTGGTTGATGAGAGTGGAGTGGAAGAAGGGGGAAGAGGGCCTGAAGGCCAGTCAGCAAAGGAGCCCAGTGTCCTACCGCATTCTGTTCCTAGTGTAATAAGGGCTCCCACAGAGCCTTCATGTGACCATAGAGAATCTAACTGCAAGTTCTAAAGTGGACAAGTACAGAGTCAGGGTTTGGAGGGCCTTGCTGCTTACACTGTCTGCTCTCAGGTCAGTAGTATTCCTTCAGTTTGAAGCCAGCCCTCATTTTGGGTAGATGAGCTGGAGTAGATGCTGATGGGGCAAAAGTTAGAGCTTTAACTGCAGAGAAAATTAATGTTTAGCAGGTACATCCTCTCCTTCCCCCTTTTCTTGCCATCTCATAGACCTGGGCCATTTATTTCAGAGGGAATCAGGGAAAAGAGAAGCAAAGATCCAATGCAGCTCCTCTCTCTCTCCTGGAAAAATGAGGAGTTTGTGTTCTAAGAAGGTGTGTGGAGAAGGAGTGCACAGGCCTGAGCAGAGGGATGCTGCTTCCAGCTCCCCTATCACCACCCCACCCCAGAGCTGGGGGTGAAACACAGGGCCTTCCAACTGCTAAGTAAGTGCTCCGCCACTGAGCTACATCCCAGCCCCGTCATCTTGAGAGCGCTCTGATGGCTTTTTTCATGAAGGCCTTACTAACTTAGGTCTGTGGTGTTTCCTGTTTAATCCAAGCATGGGGCATATATCACTTGGCGTTTCCTGAGAGTAAATCTATCTAGGAGCCGTCTAGCTGCAAACCAAGGGGTGGTGTGCCTGAGACACTCTCTTAGAGTGAAATGACAGAAACTGGCTTTTCTCTATTCCTTGTTTTTCTCTCTCTTTCTGCTAGGATGGTGATATTGTGGCCCCCCTTATAACACCTCGAAAACCAGAGTGGAATTACAGTCCAGCTCACCCCCCAGAAGCATCCAGATCCAGAGTCCAGCTGTTTAAGGATGATTCCACAGTGCATAAGGATGAGTCCATGTTGCTTGAGGACGACTTGATGTGAATGATTGCAATTGGTTGTTTACAAAAGGCCCTCTTCTAGCACAAGTTGGGGGATTTAATCATAGAGTTCCATAAACTTAGTAACTAGTGTTTTTTATTTTGTATCATCCTGAAGGAAAGTAATTCTTACTCAAAAAAACAAAAAAGTATTAGGCAAATCTTGTTACACATATTATGAAAAGAATTACTTTGCCTATTTTTAACATTACTAACCTTTCTCCTTTAGTAGTCTATTTTCTTAGAATAACAACTTTTTTAAATCTAATCTCTTATGACCGATGATTTTTTTTTTTTAATTTAGAAATGAGGCAAAGGTACAAATTTGAAGTTGAAATTGTCATGAACAGACATAGTTAAAAAGAAAACAAATCCTAGCCCCTAAAGAGGTGCCCATCACCCCAAGTTTGAGGCTAGTGCTCCTCACATGATCAAAGGAAGGACGCCTCCCCTCACTCTCCCAGCCCCCATAAGCTGCCAGGTTGGGGCAAACAGTAGGAAGTGAGGAGGACTAGGCTCTACCTCTTTGGTGAGAGGACCTGAGGATTCAGACCTCTTTATTTTTTTTTTGGTGCTGAGGATGGAACCCAAGGCCTCATGCATGTTGGGCCAGTGCTCTACCACTGAACTGAGCCACATCCCCAGTGCAGGCCTCCTTTTAACTAGAGCATAAAGCTCCCTTTTAGGAGACCACAGAAGCAGACCAGGCTGCTGTCTGAGTCAGTTGTGATCCCAGACAATTTCTCTTTCCTGAGTCCTCACTGCCCCAGCTCAAGGGCCTCACCTCTCCCCAGCCTAGAATGGACTGCCCACCCCCTGCCTGCTCACTGAGTCTGTCCAGGGAATGCCTTGGGACATCACAAGGACTGTCCTTGGGATCACTCTCACCTGGGCCTGTTTTCACTGGTGTGCATTTTATGGGTTTCAAAGCAGACTGGATTGCACTGCCTTTGTTGAGGTTCAGGACTACCCAGTGGGTCCCAGGTTTCCCTTTGTAACTTGATTTTCCCAGCCATGGCGTAGGTACCACCCTGGCTGAGCAGGGAGCTGTGCCCAGGGAACCTGCCCCATACTCCCCAAGGTGTAGAAATTCAACAACAGTAAGGTCCGGAGTTGGAGCCAAAGAGGGTGGTGACCAGAGGGTGCTGGAGATGCAAGGCAGTGGGGACAGAGGCCATGAGCCCCTAACTTATTACACACTGATGTCCTCTTGACACTCCCCAAGGTAGTGACAGCAGATTACCAAAGTGTCACTTTGCACTGTGTAACTAGACTCTGTTCTGTCCTCTCTCAGTGAAGCGTCTGGAGTCTGCTGTCCTGTGTTATCGTGGCCTCCATCCCTCAGTAGAGAATCAGGGCAACTGTCTTTCCTAGGTGCATAGATAGAACCGTCCTCTCTCCCCATGCTGTGCGGGTTGGGGGATGGACACTCATTGATGCACAAGTGAGGCTCCAGCCTGTGTCTGCCGAGCCAGGCACCTCTAATACATCAGGGGAGGCAACTGTAGGCCTCAACTTCATGTGCCCAGACTCAAGTTCAAGAATGTGATACTTTCTTAAAATTGTTTTCTTTTTGCCAACTTGATTTTAAAGTCATTTGTGGTTTTACTCTGGAATTTTGTAGTCCTATACTGTATCATTGTGTTATCCGAAAAACAAATCTGTTTTGTTCACATCTTTTGTTCCTTATAAGACTGCACTTTATGCTGTTTGCAGCTGTTTTAATTACCAGAGCCATGTGCCATTTACAAGTCTAAATTTTTCTTAAGAAACATCGTAAGTCTGTATAAAAAGGGAGATTTTAACAGCTTAGTCTCTAGAGTTACTGAATATTGTCACTTTAAGAATGCAAATAGAACTTCAGCTTGAAGGGATCGGTTACTTAACTGGTGTGGAAAACAGCTGCAATAAAGTTATGTGAATGTGTGTCCATCCTGAAGCCAGAGGTGTGCTCCTCTACTTTGTCCTTCACGGTCAGGTGCCCAGCTTGGACCCTTCCTTGCAAAGGACTGTGTCTCCCATAGAACTCCACCCACATCCTTCCTGGTATCTCAACACTGTCTATGGTGGATCTGCCAGGGTGGGTGGGAATAATATGGTCCCGGGTAGCTGTTTTTTCTTGAGCAGTGGGGCAAGTTAGAGCATTTTTTCTTCTGGCAGGAGGCAGGCACTGGTGTGGGAAAGGATATGCAGTTTTCTTATTTTGCAGAATTCCTGTTGGCCATAAAACATACTCCTTTCTCTCTCTCTTTTTTTGGTACTGGGGATTGAACTCGGGTCTTTGGCGCTTGCGGGGCAGGTGGCGGCACCACTGAGCTAAATCTCTGGCTCTCCTTTCTCTTTTAACCTGTCTGAAGTTGAGTTCTACAATGGTTCGGTTTCTTTGCCCAAATATGCATATTGTTCATTTGCTGCTTTTATGTCTTCCCTGTGAAATCAAGTAATGGATGCAAAAATCCCACAGCTGTTAGAACAGGCACTAGAGCAGGAGAAGGAAGGATGCTACTTGAGCCTTTATTAGTTTCACTGGCTAAGCACAGGTTTCTGAAGTTTGGTAGTATTCTTCAAAGTGATTTCTAAAACATACAAAGCAACATCCCATTTGTGTGTGTGTATATCTATATTTATATATCTATACCTATCGAAAATTTTTTGGAACCATATACATGAAAATGTTACTGTTTGAGAGGAGTTGAATTTTAGACAGTTTTAATTTTTAATGTGCTCTGGTTTTCTGCAAATAAACATGTTGCATTATTTGTAGAATTCCTCTAAGATAGTTTTCATGAGGGTCTGTTTCTTGGGCAAGGAGCAAGTGTCTTTGACACCTCTAAAGTTACTTCTGTAGGAAGTAGCGCTTGCCCCATCACGTGCGTCCCTAGGCCATGAGGAGCTTTCAGACAGGCACAGTCCATGTGTGGGCACTTCACCTTCTGCTCCAAGCAGAAGAGGCTGTCCTGGGTACAGAAGGCCAGGATGGCACCCACAAGCAGGTCCACATACCTGCAGCCCAGAATGCTGCTGCGCAGGGCCTCAGCTCAGAACCCAGGCCTCCAGCTCCCTGATGTAGAACTGCTCCTGCCGGGCCAGCACCTCATTGTTGAAGGTTGCACAGGGGTGGCTTCTCCCATGATACAAATCTCCATCCAACCACAGCCCAAACTGGCCACTAGAGAGAGGACATTTGGGCCTGGCTCAATCCTATGTGTCAGGCCTTTAGAATCTGCTACCATCAGCAGCCCTTGGCTACCATCATCGCAGCCCTTGTTATTTTCCCTTAAACAGATTTACCCCAACTTCTGCAGCATGTTGTTCCCTACAGGGTAGAACATTTTTAAAGCAATGCAGTGATTTTAGCAAATATGTGTAATGGTACACCATTACAGCCCAGTTTGGGGACATTTGGAACATTTTAATCCCCCCTGCCTTTGACAGGAAACCTGAGCTGGAGCCAGGAAGTGAATTACTGCAAATCAGCACTGACTGACGAATTCTTGCCAAGCTGACTCTCAGGAGAGGCTTTTCAGGCAGCTGGGGAAGCAGAGAATTTGCCTGGTACTAATCAGTGCTTTCATCTTTACCCTCAGGGTAAAACTTATTAATATGCCTGAATTTGAAGAGACCAAGCTTTTTTCTGCTTCGGAGGAGACACCTGAGACCAGGCTTTTTCCCTAACTCTCTCCACCTCTCTCTCGTCCTTGCATAGGCTCACACGTGCATTCGGGCTGGGTTCTTGGGCAGGTGCGGCTTGCTTGCCTTCCTCTAATGATTTATATCGCCTACAATTACTGGGCTGACTGGTAAATTTTTTGTCTAGCCTCATCCAACCACATGGATGCTCCCAAAATTATAGAAATCCAGACTAAGCTGTCACCAACTGTATGCAGCTTGATGTGAGGTTCGTGGATCCTTTAGAGCAGGGTGGGCAGTGATATTGAAGGACTGGCCCTGAAAGTGAACCACCAGCCTCTCCTGTCCATCTGGGCCGGCCAAGCCCCACAGTACCTTCCAGGAGGGGGAAAGGGACCAGGACACATACCTGCCACTGCCCATCATGAGTGAATCCCAGTCTCCTTTCACAAAGAATGAATTGCTCCCAGTCCACTTGAAGACCTGGGTGAAAGGGAAAGGCTGGGTTACTGAGTCCTGCCCTTGCAATCTGACCCCAGGCCACTGGGTGGCAGTGTCATGGAAGGAATGGAGCCTCCAGGGCTGGCCTGCGGCAGGAAGTGCACTCAGCTCCAAGCTCTTGAGACATCAGCCTGCTGGCGCCCTCAAGTTTGCATTCCCACAGTCTATATGCGAAGTGCCTTTGCTCCAGGCACAGCCCAAACCTCCAAAGCTTCCTCCTTCCCACTGGAAAAACAGGGAGAAAAGTCTAGGCCAGGAGTTGGGACTGATGCTGCCATTAACCACCTCATGCCCTCTCTGGAGGTCACACCAGGCTGGCCTGCCCTCTGGTGCTGCCACACAGCCAGGTCACCCCGTGACCTCCTCGTACCTCTTGCCCTTGCCCACATTCACTCTTGCGAGGATCACAGCCTCCCCCTGGTCTCAGCGTCCCCTCTCCTGCCTACAGCCTGTCTCCACCCTGCAACCTGAGTGGTCTGTCAAAACCTGAGTCATGCTGTCCCTGTTCTGCCTGAAGCTACCCCACTTCCCACTGTGATGGGACAAGTTCTGACTCCTTCCCACAGCCCAGAGCACTCCTGCCCTCGCTCGGTTTTCCTCTGGTCTGCCTCACACTGGCCTTTGTGTCCCTGGACAGCCTGGTCCCTCTGCCCAGTCTGCTCTCACCCAGGGTCCTCAGGGGCCCACATCTTATCTTTCAGCCCAGGTGTCATCACAGAGGGACTCCTGGACCTCCTTATCTAGCGTCCCTCTTCCTCCTGGCCCTGGTGCCTTTTCCTCAGCTTCCCCCTGAGATGACTGTCATGTACCAGTGTGCCCTTATTCCTGCCCTGATTCCCCATATTCCTGCCTGTCATGTGCTAGCGATAGTTGTTGAATTAATAGAAGGTTCTAGAATCAATTAGACCAGAGGATTTTCAAAGGGCCACAGAAGTATAAAGTATTATTGCCTATAGATGGTTGTAAAAATTACTACAAGCAGTGAAAATTTTAATTAAGAAAACAGACCAACTAAAAGATAATTCCTGGCTAGGCATGGCTTTGACATCCGTAATCTCAGTTACTTGGGAGGCTGAGACAGGAGGAGTGCAAGCTTAAGTCCAGCCTAGGGCTCAAAAACAAAAAAGGGGCTGGGGATGTGGCTCAGTGGAGAGCACTGGCATGTGTGAAACGCTGGGTTCAGTCCCCAGCACTGGGGAAGAAAGAAAAGTTCAGTCCTGGGCTCAGAAGGGATGAGATAATATGTAACAAGAAGACAGAAGCATTCAGTGCTTCTTCTACTTTCTTCAAGGACATGACCTTCAGGGTTGAAAGAGGATGAGAAATACTCTGTGGAAGAAATTAAGATAAAGTTCATGGTGCTGCTTGGGATAGAAATCAAATGACGAACTCCTGGGAATTTGTGAAGAACACAGGAAGTGGCAACAGACCAAAGATATGCAAGAATTAACCAATTTTTGAAAAGATGGGATTCCATAACACTAGGATAGGTAGTGATCCTCTGGGAGGAAAATCATTTATTTCATTCAATAATTGTTTTAGCACTTATGCACAAGGCATAGTTTAGGCACTGAGCAGAATGGTAAATACAACAGACAACAATCTCTGCCTTAAAGACTCCTATTCTAGTGAGAACAGGCAGATCAGAAAGTTAGAGGTGAGTATGTCATGGTGAAAAAACGCTAAGGCGAGAAATGACACGGAGAAAGGCAATGAAGGTTTTCAGGTGTGCTAAGTTTAAGTGAGGGAGTGTAGTCACTGAGATGGAGACATGAGCCCAGAATCCTGAAGGAGGTGAGAACCAAGCCATGTGCAGATCCAGTAGAAGAGCATTTGGGGCAGAACAGCACATGCAAAGGTCCTGAGGCAGGAGCAGGCCAGTGTGTTTGAGAGCCAGCTTACACCAGTGTGGCTGGAGCAGAGTGAGGGGAAGGGAAAGTAGCAAGAAACAATACTAGAGAGAAGATCAGAAAGTGTAAGGACCAGAAAGTTATTGTACACACTTCGGCTTTTCTCCAAATGAAAAAGGAAGCCAGGAAGCAGCATGTCCTGACTTCTCTTTCAAAGGTATCACTCCAGTTATTCTGATGACTGAAGGTGGAAGCAGGGAGACCTGTTAGGCTGCACAATCACAATGGAGGTTTCAGCCAAGATGACAGCAAAGGCCATGCTTAGAGAAAGATTCTAAATATGGATGGAGCAGAGCTGTCAGTCCAGATGTGGAGTATGAGAGAGAGGTAAGGGGCACCCTGAGACTTTTGATAGCAGCAGGAAAGACAGAGGTGCCATAACCGCTGAGGGGGAGGGGAGGGGGAGGACAGACAGGAGCTCAGTTTGCAATGCTGTGCTGGAGATCCAGGCAGAGATGCTAGGGAGCAGTTGGATATATGTGAGCTTGGAGTTCAGAAAGAGGCCATCGGCCCATGGATGGCAGGGAGAGCCACAATGCGCAGTTAGAGAAGAGAACCAAAAACTGAACTCTGATGTTAAAAAGGTTGGAGAAGTTGGGCATGGTGGCGCATGCCTGTAATCTCAGCACTCTGGGAGGCTGAGGCAGGAGGATCACAAGTTCAAGCCCACCTGAGCAACTTGCTGAGACCCTGTCTCAAAACATTTTAAAAAGGATTAGGGTTATAGTTCAGTGTGAAGGCCCTGAGTTCAACAGTCCTACAAAAAAAAAGGAAGAGGAACCAGCAAAAGAGTTGCCAGTACAGAAAATTCTAGAACTTTAGAGTCCCAGTGTAGGAACACAGGCAGGCAAGAAGTGATGGCTAAGCCTCCAGCTGGCTGTCCACGCAGCCTGACCTTGGCCTATCTCTGGGGAAGGGCGAAGGAGGCCAGTCTGGCAGGGGATCTGTGCACCAGAAAGGTTCGGTGCCCCGAGCAAGGAGTCCCTGCTCCTGTGAGCGTGTGGCTCGTGCTGGGTGTCTCTGCAGATGCTGTCACCTGCATTCAGGAAAGGAGATCCCTCATAGCAAACCAGAGCACCTGGAACTGCTTCTGCATCCACTGAACAAACCAGGAGCAAGTCTGATTTCTTAAGGACTTGCTGTGACAGTGCCAAGCAGTATGATGCTTGCCTCACGCATCCTGACCCTCCCATCCTCTTGAGTTCCTAAACATGCTTTCTCTTCTCTCCAGTTTCTGTGCCTTTGCACAGCTCCAAGGGGACTGACTCCCTTGCACCCTCCACCACCTGATACTTCTGATTTGCCCAGCAAGATCCAGCTCCAGAAGCTCCTCTTCCAGGAAGCCCGCTGTGATTCCCCCACTAGAGGCTGTGCCACTCCTCTGTGCTCTGCACTCAGCCCCGGGTGCTCTGTATTGCAGGCACTGTACCCAGCTGCTCTGTACCTCGACTTCGTCATCTGTAGGATGGGAGTGATAATAAGCGCTCATAGGATTGTTGTGACAATTCAATGCACCAGTTTGTGGAGGTGGCAAACTGGTTACCTGTTGTCTGTTAGTAGTAAAAGCAGTACGCTCAGGCCGGGGATTTAGCTCAGTGGTTTCGCCGCCTGCTGCGCAAGCGCAAGGACCCCAGTTCGATCCCCGGTACCAAAAAAAAAAAAAAAAAAGCAGTACGCTCTGTGCCAAGCATGTAGGGCTCAGTAGCATCATTGAATAAGTAACCCAGAGACAGAGAATCCTTGGATGGAAGATATTTGGGGCTATTATTCTCTTTCAAAAGTCCCAGCGCTGCCAGGCGTGGTGGTGCACACCTGTAACCCCAGGACTCCGGGAGGCTGAGGCAGGAATATTGCAAGTTAAGCCCAGCCTGGGCAACGTAGCATCTTAGTGAGACCCTGTCTCTAAATAAAAAATTTTTTTTTTTTTTTGGTACCGGGGATCGAACTCGGGACCTTGCGCTTTCGAGGCAGGCACTGGAAAAACTGAGCTAAATCCCCGGCCCTCTAAATAAAAAATTTTAAAAGGGAGCTGGGATGTAGCTCAGTGCCAAGGCCCTGGGTTCAATTACCAGTATTGCCAAAAATAAAAATAAGAGAGGCCCAGCTTTGGCAGCTTGTGCCATCTGAGACACCAGGCACCAGTCACCTTGTGCCTGTCATTCACTGCCCAGGTCTCTTTTTTTGGGGGGGGTGCCGGGGATCAAACTCGGGTCCTTGAGCTTGGGCAGCAGGCAGTGAAACCACTGAGCCAAATCCCCGGCCCCTACTGCCCAGGTCTCTTGAGCTCTGGCCTGTTGTCCCTCCTCCTCCCCAGCTCTGTGCTAAAGGTCACCTTCTCCCACGGACCCATCCACTCTGCCTTCAGTGCCTTTCCTCTTTGCCTGCAGGGGTTTCCAACTGCCGTTTCCCAGTCACCTCTGGGAATTTGTCTCCAGTCTTTTTAATGTCCCTTGCCTGACATTTCCTGTCTTCTGACACTGTTCAACTGCTGTCACTGCTCCATGTCCTCAACTTTCAGGAGACCCCTGCTCCATGGAGTCCACCTTGGCTCACCACCTTCAGGCCTCTCTGGCTTCCTCCACCCCTTGTTCAGTCTGGGGTTTGTGCTCCAATTTCATCCCCACCCCCACCCCACACATGTACCATGTCTCCTGCCTCTGATTAGCAAGCTCAGCAAAGCCCCAGTCCTGGAGGACCCGGATCACCCGGATGAGGCATGGAGTGCTACAGGCAGAAGCACTCCAGGGAGGGAGGACAGGCCTGGGGCCACATAGCCTGGCTGTCCCTCTGTCTAACAGGCCTCTTCTAGGACCCCTTTCTGCACACTGCAGGACTGTTCCCCTCCTCCTCCCCATACCCTGTCCTTCCCTTTAGCTGAGGCCCATACCCCATGCTTCCAAGAATTCACTGAGCCAGGCATGGTGGCACACACCTGTAATCCCAGCCCTTGAGAGGCTGAGACAGGAGGATCACCCTGAGTTTGAGGCCAGCCTGAACTATGTAGTAAGACCCTGACTCAAAAAACAAACCAAAAAAAGAAGCCACTGGATGTGCTCTTCTGCCACCACACCCTTAGGCCCACCTGCACTTGGGCCCATGTTGTCTTTCCAGCCTACATCTGGTGAGCAGCGTCCCTCCCTGCCCAGCTGTCAGTGGGTATGGACACCTAGGGAGCATTTCTTAAAAGAGGGACAAGCCCAGGGTGCACCCTGCCCCATCAGCCGGGGGCACTGGGACCCTGGAGCTGTGTCCTGCCATAGACAGACAGACAGACACACACACACACACACACACACACACACACACACACACGTAGAAAGTGTGAGCATCACCTTCAGCTGTGGGGAGAAGGAGAAGAGGAATGTCTCCCCAGTACCGTAGAAACCTTTGCTGAGTCGGAGAGATGAGGAACAGAAGGCACCAAACATCTGAAAAGCAGAAAAACATGCAATTCACAGCTGGAAGGGAGCTGGGGGTCCTCCGGCAAAGCCCGTTGACCAGGCTCGGTAATGTCGGCTCACCCTTGGGGCCACCAAGCTGGGCTAGGCTGGGCAGCCTCTGTGGTCTACCCGCTGCACCCTTTTCTCAGCCCCACAGGAAGAGCTCTGGCCAAGGCTATTTCTGGGCTGTCAGGACCTTCCCACTTTTTCTTAAATATACTTACTTTATACAAGTTATAGACAACAACAACAGAAAATACCATCTGCAATCCCCCTTTCTTCCTTCCCAAGGTAATTTATTTTGACATTTTGGTACATTTCCTTTCCACCCCAACTTAACACCAGTGTACAGATTTTGATAAAAAAAAAAAAAAGAGATGACATGTCAGGTGTCAGGGTGCACACCTGTAGTCCCAGCACTCTGGAAGGCTGAGGCAGCAGAATCACTAGTTCAAGCCCAGCCAGGTCAGCTTAGTAACTTGGAAAGATATTGTCTCACAAACCAACCAACCACAAAGGGTTGGGAATAAGCTCAGCGCAAAGACACTGGGTTCAATCCCCAGTACTATGGTGGGGGGGAGGGGGCTGGGTGTGGTGTCACACGCCTGTAATTCCAACACTTGGGAGGATGAAGCAGGAGAATCACAAGTTCAAGCCTAGCCTTGGCAACTTAGCAAGACCCTGTCTCAAAATAAAAAATAAAAAAAGGGCTGGGGATGTAGCTCAGTGCAAAGGCCTTGGGTTCAACCCCCAGTACAGCAAAATAGATGATAGATAGATAGATAGATATATGACAGAGGTATTGAATGAACAAGTGAGGGACTGGCTGTGTTGGGTCTCATTGCCATTAGAAGTGACTTAGCCTGTCACCTCAGCCATCTTGTCCCTGAGGCTTTGCTGGGCAGGGCCCAGTGGTGTCTGGCTAGACACAGAGCCCTGCCTAGCTCACCTGTCCCTCCTGGTCCCTGAGGACCAGCAGCACCGGCCCACTGCAGCCCTCCATCTGCCGGTACAATCTCTGCAGACTGAAACCATCCCTCGATGTGCCAAAGGCCAGACTCCAGGGGTGGCTGGTGACCCTCGGGGGCAGGTGGAGGCTGAGCTGCGGGTAAGGATAGAGGTGAGTGAAGGATACTCCTCCAGCTGCCTTCTTTCCATCCCAGGATGGGCCAAACAGCACCATGCAGGTGGCCAAGGTGCTTGACTGTTTCTGTGGACCTCACACCTGGCAGCAATAACCCTTGGAGGTAGAGTTTCTGTTCCCATTTTACAGATGAAAAAACTGAGCCTGGGATGTGGGGCAACCAACCTAAAGCCCCCAAGGGACGGTGAGTAGCAGAGCCAGGAAGCCAACCCTGCTCAGGTGTCTCTCAGTACTCTCTCCCCTTGGTCACCTGGTCGCCAAAGGCTAGAGAATAGAATAGATGCTGAGCCCCTCCTCTCAGCTCCCTAAGCCCATCTTCAGTTCCCACGGGCCAGTGCCACCTCAGAATGTGCATTTAGCCAGGCACAGTGTACACGCCTGTAATCCCAGCATTCTGGGAGGCTAAGACAGGATGATCACAAGTTCAAGTCCAATCCAGGTAAGTTAACTACTTAACAAGACCCTGTCTCAAAATTTAAAAAATAAAAATAAGAAATGGTTAAGGATGTAGCTCAGTGGAAGGACAGTGGGTTCAATCCCCAGTGCTGAAAAAAAGTTATCTTTCACCAGATCCTGAAAGGGCAGAGGCAGTGCTAGTCTTACTGGGCTGTTTCATTAGAAAGGGAAAGAATGCCAAATAGAAGAAGTGATCTTCCCAAGGTGAGACAGGGTGCTGGGGACAAGGCAGCAGTGACCCCAGTGCCCCTGGGCGTGGCTGGGGTAAGGAAGAGCTCCAGGGCCGAAGTCCTGGTGTGCGACAGAGCCCGAACCTGCCTAATCTCTGAGGCACCCAGAACCTGGCTGGCTTCAGTCAGCTGGGGCTCCACAGGGTCTTCAGGATCGGGGACAGGGGCTGAGGCTGCCTCATTCTTTTCATCCTCTTCCTCCTCCTCACCATTCTCCCCACACAGGGCATCCTCCATCTGGCTGGGCTGCGAAGACACAGAGAGACCTGGTGGTTGAGGGAGAAAGAGACACCTGCCTATGCCAGCTCCTGAGCCTGAAAGCCTCAGGTACCTCCTAACCCCTGCCCAGGGTCCCTGCGAGGCCTGGCCCAGCCCAGGACATCCAAAAGTATCCACGACAGCCAGGACTCTGCCTGTCCTCCAGCTTCCTCCCTGGCTGCTACCCACACGGACCAGAGGCACACACCCCAGCCCAGTTCCGCTGAAGTCGGGCCCTGGGCCCTGCAGTCTGCCTGCCTGTTTGCTGTGGACCCAGGGTGGATGCTGGGGAGCAAGTTCTAAGCTGGAAGCAAGGAGGAAGGGTGGGAGCAGCCAGCCCTGAGCGCAGCAAACAGGTGTGTTTGTCCATGAAGTAATAATGACAATACCAATGATGACAATGACTGTGGCTGACATTGATTCAGCCCCTACTGGACCAGGCCTGTGTTGTATGCGTGCCACCATGATCTCTTTGAATTCCCCTAAAATCCTAAAAATGTGCTTCTAATTTTCTGATTGTGCCAAAGAGGCCCAGAGGATGGCATGGCAGTTAGTGAGACCATGCATGTAGTCCCATGTGAGACTACAACGTGTAGGTCCATGTAAAATGTGTCTGTCCATGCGAGTTTCATACTGGCCTCAAATATAGTTGTGCAGGCAGATCAGTGAGAGAATATGTTCAGTGTGAATTTGTGTTACATGTCTGTATTTCGAGGTAATGTGGGTTGTGTAAATACAGGTGTGTGTCAGTGGACTTGTACGCTGGTGGTGTCATCCACTCCTTCATTCAGCCATGCTTCTAACCCCGTCCTGGGGTCTGTGCTTGAGTGTGCAAGCGTGTGTACGTGTATGCAAGTGTGCAGACATGTGCATGCAGATCTCCCTCAGGGACAGCAGCCTTTCTGTGGAAAGGAGGACCTCTTTGAGAATGAGAAACAAGGGCTGGGGGGCGGGGGTTAGCTCAGTGGTTTCGCTGCCTGTTGCACAAGCGCAAGGACCCAAGTTAAATCCCCAGTACCAAAAAAACCCAAAAAAACAAAAACCAGAGTATGAGAAACAACACCCCACCCCCAACCCCTGTCCTCCAGGCTCGGCCTAAGAAAGGGTCCTTGCTCTAGACAGAGCTACATGGGCCACCCGCTCTGGATAAAAGGACAGAAACAGTGGTTTGCCCCCTTCAGGGTCTCAGGACTGTGGGGCTGGAGGCTCAGGTTCCCTGTGTCAGCCCTTGCTCTAAACCCCTGGCCAGTGGGGGAGGGACGTGGGAGGGGGACAAGTCACCTGCCTGCCTCCGACCTCACCCAGGCTTCATCCTACCAGAGCTCAGCCTCCTCCCAGCCCTAAGCCTCAGCCAAGCAGGACCCTCACCAGCCAAGAGTAGCGCCACCGGAGACCTCTCATCTTTTGTCGTGGCCAGCTGAGCAGTGACCAGTCCTCGGCCCTGTCAGGAGGAAGTGCTGCCAGTCAAGGCCAGGAGATGAGAGGGAGGAGCCTAGGGCACACCCAGATGGCTCCATGCCCACAGCTGCCCTTTGCTCCCTCTCACCCCAGCCCCAGTAGTCACTGGGTGGGTCTATGAGCAATGCAGCATTCAGGGCCTCACTCAGCATCTAACACACGTTAGCCATGTGCAATAAATTCCAGCTGTGATTCCACTTCACCCTGGGGACTGTGGCAAGAAGGGCCTAAGGCCCAGGCTGGGGATCCAGGACCTCTGCTTCCCTGTATGACCGAATAAGCTCACTTGCACCCTTGGGCCTCAGATTCCTCACATGTAACATCTAACACATTGGACCAGACATTCCAGAAGCCCTCACAGGACTAACATCTGCAATTCAGGTCCTCCTCAAATGAGTGAATCATAACAGAAGCTTGAAAAGGTGTGCCCAGGTTAAAAGATGAAAGCTTTTAAAAAACAACATTTTGGGTTGGGGATGTAGCTTAGTGATAGAGCACTTGTCTAGCATGTGCAAGGCTCTGGGATAGAGCCCTAGAACTGCAAAAAAATTTTTTGTAATGAAAAAGTTACTAGTAGAGCTGGAGATGTAGTTCAGTAGTACAGTGCATGCTTACTATGCCCAAGGCCCTGGATTTGATCCCTAGTGTTCACGTGCGTGTGCGTACACACACGTACAGCCTCTGGAATCAAGGAGTTTAAATCTTGGTTTTACCATTTGGCTATGTGTTACGCGTCCTTGAGCAAGTTACTTAACATCTCTGCTTCACTCTCTACATCTGTAAAATATTAATATCTACATCCTAAGGCTGTTATAAGAACAAATAAAAATGCCAGGTGTGGTGGAGCATGCCTGTAATCTCAGCACTTGGGAGGTTAAGGCAGGAGGATCACCATGAGTTCAAGGGCAGCTTGAGCTACATAGTGAAACCCTGTCTAAAAAATAATAATAAAATAAAAAAATAAATAGAGATAATCCCTGAAGGCTTGGGATGAAAAGTCAGGCCCCTATCATCTCTTCCGCAATTCCATGAAATAACCCACAGCACTTGGCATTTAGCAGGGCAGCATAAATGACATTGCTTGTTACCCTGGTCCCCCCTGCCTCTTTTAGAGATCCCAAATCCCTGTCTAGACACTGCTCAGCCTCCACCTGGGGGCCACTAAGGAGGTCGGTTGGGGAGGGGGCTTACCTTGTCAAGCCAGAGCTCCCAATTTCCTTTGCACCCTTGCTTGGTCCCCCAGAGAGCGGGCCACACCCAGAGCAGGCCCTACCTACCTGACAATCTGTACACAGCAGCTGTGGCTCTGAACTCCTATCCCCCTTCGGGAGTCTGGCACCACTGCCTCAGCCTGCCCCAGGCTCTCCTGCCTGGCTCTTATACCTGCCCGGAGGGTGGCAGGCCTTGGGCCTGCGCCCACCCCAGCTCTAGCTGGGAAGGCCTGTCAGTGATTATCACACAAAACAGAAACTCAAATCCCACAAACACACAAACAAGACCTTGTCACAGTCTGGTCCCCAGCTCTGTCCCCATTATCCCAAAGAGGAGGGGGACCCTGGGCTCCTTGGCTTCTCACCCACTTCCAGGTACCAGTGGGAACCTGATGCCCACCATAGAGGACCCTTCCCTTAAGGTTAAGCCTGTGATCTCAAGCGGCACTGGAAAGCTTGATGCTCCTTCAGTCACCCCATGCTGCTGCGGGAAGCTGCCTGGGCCAGTGGGTGAGGACGGTCCTGTCTTAAGGGCAGCTGTGAAGTCAGGCACAGGTGTCTGGAACACAGTTAGCATTTGCTCAGTGGGGGTTACTTCTCAGTCCCTGACTCAGGCTAGGACCTTGGTGACTGTGGTGTCACTGAATCACAAAACTCAAAGTTGGTAGGGGCTTCAGCCAGCCCCACAGCAAGTAGCCTCTGCCCAGAGCAGGATATCCTGGAAAATACGCCCACCTTGTGGTTACCAGCTTCGGATAGGGGGCTGAATCCGTTGTCCCACAGGTGCTCACTGTGTCTTCACACATCTGCCAGAGACCCTGTCCCCCTGAGCTAGGTTCCCAGATACCCTACTCTGCTGGTGCCCTGGGGCAGTGCTCCACCAGGAAGTCTGGGAAACCAAAAGGACTTATATTATGGGGAAAATAGGAGAGGGAAAGGTCCTGTTGCCACCTCAAACATGGCTGTTGCAAGGTGTGTTGAAGCTGTAAACAGCTCAGGCGCCACACTCCTAGTGCTTTCTGCCATGTCTCCCTCCCCCAGTGCCTCTCCCAGCCCCGTTTCCCCTGTGATTAACACCTGACCAGTGGGCACTTTGAGAAGCCAGTGGGGTTTGCCTGGCTGTCTCATTCTCTATCCTTATGTCCAGGAAGACTCAGTATGTGACCTGGCAGGAACATGCTTGCCAAATAGTGGCCCCTAAAAAGCTGTTATGGTGAGTTCCAGGGGCAAGAGGGCCTGAGACACCCTCTCCCTGCAGCTTGCCTTCTCCTTTTTCCTCTACCAGGTCTCATTCCACCTCCTTCTGGACCACACCAGTCATCTCCAGGAAGCAATGTAAGTGTCCAATGAAAGGGGAAAGGTGAGTGACCTGGGGAACATCCACTCAGTGGATTATTTCCAAGTGTTAAAGTGATGTTTGCAAAGAATTTTATATACAAAGTGGAGATTATCATGCTAAGTAAAATAAGCCACGCTCAGAAAGTGAAATATAACAATATTTCCTCTTACGTGAGAAACCTAAAATACAAGTAAATGGGTAAGATAAGGGAGAAATGATGGGAAACTAGAAGGTAGACTCTTGAAAATGGACAAGGGGGCGGATGGGGAGGAAAGGGATTGAAAATTATTGAGGTGTGTTATGTGCGAATACCAATTCCCCAACAGGAACATCACTGTTCTGTATTACAAACACGCACTAATAAAAATTAATATACTTGCAGCAATGCAAAGAAAAGGTGAAAACATTCAGGAGAAAGGTTCACTGGGCTGAGGGGCTTCCGGCCTGAATCTCTAACAGATGCGTAAGGCTGCCTGACAGATCCCTGGCTCTGGCGGTGGAATTCACACTGTCTGAGGAGGCTCTCTCACAGAGCACCCTCGCCCTCCTCAGTGGCCACCCACCTCCCCTGCCCTCAGCTGGGCCCTGCCCTCCTCACTGAGCAAACAGAAGCCCTCCGACAGGTCATCCATCTTCTTGCCTGTCCTCCAGGACAAGGGAACACAGCCCTGGCTCTGCCCCAGCCCTTCTCCCGCTTTCTCTCTCCAGTCTCACGGTCGCCCCTGGCTGCTGTAATTCTCCTTTGCCTACATTCTGCCTTCTGTTCCCTCCTCAGTCCATCCTGGTCCTTCTGTCCCACACCCCTGCTCTTGCCAAGGTCCCTACCAGTCTCCCCCACCCTCCCTCCTCCTCTGGCTTCATTCCTGGGCTCACCCTCTCTGTCGTTTGTGACCAGTTTTTCCTCTTTTACCCATTTTCTAGAATCAGGAGTTTTTATGTCTCTGGTTCCAGGGCCAGTTTTCCTTTTCCCCACAGACCCACTCCCTAAGTTACCTCATCTGGCCTCAAGGATTTGAATGTTATCTAAGTGCTAATGACTCTTCAAGGTTCCAGATCCAAGTGGTACCCTGGGATCCACATCTGAGTGTCGCTTACCTGTCTGAGCTCTCCATTTAGATGTCTGCACAGACACCTCAAATTGGACATGCCCCCCCAAACCCTCTTTACTCCCCGCTCTAAGCCTAGTCCTCTCTGCCCTCTAAGGGCCACCAAGCTTGCCTTTCCTGCCATGGTATATGGAGTTGTCATTTGCCCTGTCCCCCAGCGAAAGCCAGAAACCAGGGAACTGAACTTGATTTTGCTGATTCCTCATTGCCAGCTCAGATTGCTGTCTCTGACTCCTCAGCACACAGCTCCAGATGACCCTCTTCCTTCCGTCTCCTCTGCTTCCAGCCTCATCCAAGCCGCCCTCAGCTCCCAGGGACAGGCTCAGCAGCCCCACAACTATCTCCCAGCGCCTCTTCTTGCCAGCAGCACAACGATCTGATCTACTTACTCCAAAACATAAGTGAGGCTGTATCACTGCCCAGCTTACTCCAATGGCTTGCCACTGCATGGAGAATAAGCTCCCGCCCAGGCAGGCCCTCATTCCTGCTATTCATCCAACCCTATGTGCTGTCTCCTTTCCTCTCCATCATCCAGTGAGTTCCAACTGTATTGACTCTCACTTCCTCGAATATCTACCAAGCTTCTTTCTTCTTCAGCTCTTTGTCCCCCGCCCCCCGCCTGAGGTTGTCTTCTATCTCCTAGCTCTTTGAATAACTCAGTTTAAAGGCTACCTCCTCAGAGAGATCTTTTTTTTCTTATACTGGGGATCGAACTCAGGACCTTGCGCTTGCAAGGCAGGTGCAGTGCTGCTGAGCTAAATCCACAGCCCAAGACATTCTTGATTATCTATTTAAACAAGTTTCCCTAAGAACCTCTCAGCCAGTGGCTTGTTCCTTTCATGATTTGTATGACTGAAAAACTTTTCCTTTGTTAGAAATAAATCACCTCTTCTTGGAGGCCTTCCACAAGTTAGACTCCATCAGTTTCCATCCTTTTTTCTTTCTTTCTTTCTTTTTTTGGTACTGGGGATCAAACTTGGGTCCTTGTGCTTGTGCAGCAGGCGGTGAAATCACTGAGCTAAATCCCCAGCCCTATCAGTTTCCATCCTGTTGGTCAGTTTAGCACCTTGAATGGGAAAAACAAAACTTTTTTCCACTTGGATAATTGTCCCCTTTGTTGCTTACACTGTCACAAAAATTTTTATAATCCTTTAGTGCTTCTTTCCTTCTAGACTAGAGCTTTACACAGTATACTCTGGGCGCCTGAGCTAGATAGTTTGTAGCCCAACTGCTCTTTAATTGAGTGACCCTAGGTTTAAATCAACACCTGTCCTGCCACTTCCAAGCTACATGACCTTGATCACACATTCCAGGTACCCATTACTATGTAACAAATGGCCCCAAAACTTGATGCCTTAAAACAGTATTTGTTTTGCAGTTTGGACAAGGTTAGTGAGCCAACTCATTTCTGTTCTACTTGTCAGCTGGGGTGGTTCGGAGATGGGCTGAATCATCTCAGGTCTGGTGGTCAGTGGGTGCCAGAGCTGGAGGTATTTTTTTTTTTTGGTACCAGGGATCAAACTCTGGACCTTGCGCTTGCGAGCCAGGCGCCAGAACCACTGAGCAAAATCCCCGGCTGGAGGTGTTGCTGGAACAACTCACATGGCCTGGGCTTCCTCCCCATGTGGGGATTGGATTCCAAGGGTGAGTGGAGAGACAGAGGGAAGGAGGGAGGGAGAGACAGAAAGACAGACAGAGGAAGGCTGGTGACTGGGTAGAAGCCACATTGCCTACATTGCCTTTCTTGTTGTTGTTGTTGTTGTTTTGAAATAGGGTCTTGTTATGAACTTCAGGTTGAACCTGAACTCACTCTGCAGCCCAGGCTGGCCTCGAACTCTCAGTGAGCTTTCTGCCTCAGCCTCCCAAGTGCTGAGATTACAGGCAAGGGCCACCATGCCCAGCTCACATTGCCTTTTTGTTTTTTGGTACCAGGGATTGAACTCGGGACCTTGCGCTTGCTAGGCAGGCAGCAGCACCACTGAGCCACATCCCCAGCCCACATTGCCTTTTATGACCTAACTTTGGAAGAGAACACAGATCCTGTCACTCAATTGGAGGAGTGTCAATGTCACATTGTAAGAAGAGTAACTGGGATGAGCTATGTTATCAGTGTGCCTATTTTTGAAAAATAGAATCAGCTACAAGAAGTTCTTTAGTATTTTTGAGCCAGGGATGGTATGTACTTGTAGTCCCAGCTACTGGGGAAGCTGAGGCAGAAGAATAACTGTACCCCAGGAGTCCAAGACCAGCCTGAGCAACACAATGAAACTTTGAGGACAGAGAAAAAGAGGGAGGGTGGGAAGGAGGGAGGGAAAGACAGAGAACAAATAAACACCATTCTGAGATCTTTTACTGAAAAAACTGAGGCTAGATCCTGGCACAGTAAGAGGCTGTGGGCCAGACAGCCGCAGGGCTTGCTGGCAGCTGAGGACAGCTACCCACCTGCACATAGCCAGTTCTGGGCTCCCAGCAAATCTCACCTTTTGGAAATCTGACTTGTTCTGAACGACTTTGAGTCCAGAGCCCCATTCTCTACCCCACCTGACCCCAAGCTCCTCCCCACTAGCCTTTGCTGTCCCTTGGAGCTGCTATAAGTCCAAACAACTACAGAGCAGGAAGAGCCCTCACCCTTGCTCAGCCAGAGTGTTGGGATGCAGAAAGGATGTGCCAGGACTCAGGCCTTGGTCCCAAAGGGGAGGGGCAGGCCACTCTAATCTCAGGACCACTTGTGTAGCTAAGGGTGTGTCAGCCTGTTCTGGTACTTCCCTTGCACGAACTCACACCTCAAACACCTCCAAGTTCACATCTGTGTAGGAGGTGAAACAGAAGCACAGAGAAGGGTAACAATTTCCAAGAGTCACATAGCATCTCTCTGTGCCACACCAGAACCAGCCTACAAGAGCAGAGACACCAGACCTGGGAGGACCTTGTAATCCGCTGTGCTAGACCAGACCAGGAGGAGACCCAGAGGCCCAGAGAATGGGAAGGTCATCAGTCCAAGCCTTCCACATCACTGCCTAGCACGGATGCTCCAGTGCCATGCCAGGCTACCCTGCTGGATCTATGGTCCATCTGCCGACATACTGTGTACTCCACAAGGCCAGGAATGGACAAGCCTACTCTGTGTGCCTCTTGTGTGGTGCTTGTGTTACCCTGGTGTGTGTGTGGGGGGGTGGTGGTTCTTGCCCAGAGAGGGTGGGAATGCCCTGGAGGAAGTGTTGGTTCAGAACCTGCTGAGCAGCCCTGCTCTTCTGGCTCCATGGAGGACACCTGGAGGATGTGAGGGACACTTACACACTTAGATCTGAAGTCATGCTTTGGGTGAGAAGGGATCCCTAAAAGGTGGCGGGACAGAGACAGAGAAGTTGACCTGGTGCCAGGTGTGTGTTGTTCATGGGGAGGGGGATCAAAGAAGGGGAGGAAGAGAAGGAAAGAGAAAATGGGGAAGAGGAAGAAAAGGGGGAAGAGGAAGAAAAGGAACACATGGAAAAGGAAGAGAAAAAAGGATGGAGAGAAAGCAGAAAAGACTAGGGGAAGAGAATGGAGCCTTGCCCTCCTAGGACAGGGCCTTTCTGAGGCTGGCCACCACTTCTAGGGGAGCTAAAGAACTAACTCACCCTCTTGCCTTGCTGTGGTCCGGGATAGGGGTAACGAGGTACCGCGCTGGAGGCAGGGTGGGTCAAGGAAGCTGTAACAGACTGGAAGATCCACAGCTCATCCAGGAACCTTGGAAACAACCCTCCAAGCAAAGAAACCATCCCCACGACAGGTGGGGCTTCAGGGTCACCCTGAGCTGGGAGGGGGGTCCGGGGAGACCGTGTTGGGGGCTCAAGGCAACCTCCGCCCCGCGTCAGCCCTTACGCGGGCCCAAACCTACTCCCAAACCATCCACCGGTCTGACACCTCGTAATGGGTCGCCTCCATTTTAGCCGTACAGCCGGGGAAAGGGGAGCATGCTTGGTTCCGCAGGCAGTTAAGGGGTGCAGAGCTGGGCCTGCACTCCTGGTTCCACGGTCCCTAAGGTAGTAGGTGAGAAGCGAGGGCAGGAGTCCGAGCACGCCCTGGAGGCGTGAGGTTGGGTTTCGTCCGGGCTCTGCCGTGGGCCACGAGGCTGTCTCGCGTCCCCGCGGGGCTTCGGTTTACGCATCTGTAAGATGGGAACGCAGATCGCGCCCGGCGAGGTTAAAGGGGGCGGAGTTCGCGCACGCTCAGCACCGGGCGAGGGGCGAGGTGCCGGAGTGCATGGATGCTGGCTCCTGCGTTCTGAGGTCCAACAGGCCTCTGCCCGGGAACCCAGGCTCCAGCCGCGCACGCGGCCCCATCCCGGACGCTGGGCTCACGGGCGCCTCCGCGGGGTGCGACTTCCCGGCCCGCGGGGTAGGAGGCGGCGGCGCAGCCCAGGAGGACCGAGCCGAGGCCGCGGCTGCCCGGGCCCGCCTGACCCTCGAGGGGGTCGCTGTTGCCTCGCAGATCCCTCCCTCGCTCCCTGCCTGCGTCCCTCCCCGCCGCTCCCGCCGCGTCCGCCTTTTGTTCGCGGAGCCGCGCGCCCCCGAGCCGAGGCGGCGGGGCGGGGAGCTGGCGGGGCTGCGCGGGGGGCGGGCTGCGCCGGGCGGAGCCGGGGTCCGGGCTGCAGCCGGACTCGGAGCCCGGGACGGCGATCAACGTGCAGGCGGCGGTGGCCCGGGTGCACTACGGGGGCGCGGCGAGGCCGAAGGGGCGGGCGCCGGGCGGAGCCGCAGTCGAAGCCGGGGCGCCTGGAGGCGGTCAGGCCGTTCGCTCCGCGCGCACAGCGGTGCAGAGACCGCGCAGCGGGGACCTGGGCCGGAGTGCAGGCCCCGGGCTGAGGGGACCAGAGAGCAGTCGCGGCCCAAGTCGCCGGAGCCGCTCCGGGACCCTCCTCAGGGACGCCGAGGCCGGGCTAGCGCGGGCCATGCGCGCCGCGCGCTGAGGCCACGGGAGGCCGCGATGGAGGCTCCTGCGGTCGAGCCGACGACGCGGGGCTGCGGCCCCCCGCCCGCGCCAACCCCGGAGAGGAAGAAGAGTCACCGCGCGCCGTCGCCCGCCCGACCCAAGGACGTGGCCGGCTGGTCGCTGGTCAAGGGCCGCCGCGGCCCAGGCCCGGGCGCCGCTGCCGCCTGTAGCGCCGCGTCCTCGTCGCGGCCAGACAAGAAGGGGCGCGTGGTGGCCCCCGGGATGCGGGGCGCGGGGGCGCGAGTGGCCGGGGTCCGCACCGGGGTCCGCGCCAAGGGTCGTCCGCGCCCAGGTGCGGGCCCGCGCCCGCCGCCGCCGCCGCCCAGCCTCACCGACAGCAGCTCGGAAGTGTCCGACTGCGCGTCGGAGGAGGCGCGTCTGCTGGGCCTGGAGCTGGCGCTGAGCAGCGACGCCGAGTCGGCGGCCGGGACCCCGGCGAGGGCCCGCACTGGGCAGCCTCCCCAGCCCGCACCGGCTGCGCAGCAGCCTCCGCGGGCGTCCGCCTCCCCGGAGGAGCCGTCGGTGGCCGCGTCGTCAGTGGACAGCAGCCGCCTGCCGCTCAGTGCCTCGCTCGCCTTCTCCGACCTCACCGAGGAGATGCTGGACTGCGGGCCCGGCAGTTTCGTCCGAGAGCTGGAGGAGCTGCGCTCCGAGAACGACTATCTCAAGGTGGGGCGCCGTGGGGGTAAGGGGACGCGGGTTGTCATAGTCCCATGGGCCTGAAGCACCAGCCGGCCACTTCCCCACTGAACAAGCTGGGGAGAGGGCCCCAGACTTACCGCCCTGAAGTCAATCTAAGGCTCCCTTTCCTCTCTCCACTTTATTTGGGAAGCCTTCTACTGAAGATGGTCTTGGATAGGACCCTTTTCAGTGGGTCCTGATTTGGGGAGTGGGTGTTTGAGGATGCCTAGATGGTGGGGGTGGGTAGGAAATGAGGGGCTAGACCTCTGCTTTCAGCAGCTGGAACCCCGCCCTCAGGTCAGCAAGCTGTGGTTGTGGGTTGTGGAGGCTCCTTTCCGGGATAAGCATTGGTGAGCAGGCTGCCAGGGAAACCTGTGGCCATCCCCTGGCAAGGAGGGGCAGGAACACCATTCTGAGTCTTTATGCAGGGCTTCCCCAGCACAGGCTTGTCCCCGCCTGCCTTTCAGGGCGGGTCCAGTTTGAAAGCGTGACATCTGGGAACATCCCCTTGGCTAGAGTCCACTTCCGCCCAGTCTAACGGTCCTACAGCCTGAGAGATTGATGTCATGGGAGAACCGGTTGAGAGGCAGCTTCCTAAGTTGCAGAGTATCGTCTTCTGCCCTCTCTGCTGCAGGTTTTAAATACACCACTGCCCACTGGCCCCTTTTGGTCACTGTCTGTGGCCTTCCCATGTTCCCAGTGGGAGGAGGAAAGTTGCCTTCCTGAAAGGGGCATTCCCTGAGGATGTATGGGGCCTGGGACTTCCCGGGGAACAGGCTTTGCCCTGGCCCTTTCAGTGGACATGGGTCCACTGGGTGTAGCTCTGGGTGTAGGCCAGCTTCCATTGCCTGCTACTGGCACCAATGTTAGCTGTAGGGACAGTCCAGCCATCATTTATTGACCTTGTTCTGAAAATCTGGAATACTGGGCTCTACTGTCATTGGCCAGGCACGGTTTTGGAAGAGACTGAAATGTTACCTGCGCTTGTCAATTGATGTCAGAGTACTCTTGGCCAGGAGCCAGGGAATTAACAGCACTGTTGATTTATGTCTGCCCGAAGCCCTTAACTTTGCTGTGGTGCTTTCGGCCAAAGGGTTCTCTTTCCTTAAGAGTGTTGGGGTGTTTCTCAGTTGTGACTCTCACATGTATTCAAAAAATGCTTGTAGAATAGGGCAGGTCTGTCTGAAGTAGGATTACCTGTCCCTTCAGCCTCAGACCTTTCCTCAGGCCAGACCTCAGTTTCCTCATCTATTAAGTGGGAAGATGAGTCTTCCCAAAGGATCCCTTCAGTGTTGATGATCAGAGGTTCTTCCGTCAGCCCTTGTAATCTTCCCAAGCCACTGGGGAAAAAAGAGCAAGTGGAGGGTGGGCAGGAGGAGGGAGAGGATGAGTAGAAAGAGGACCTTTGGGGCCTGCCCTCTGGTTGCTTCCAGCTGCTTCCTGTACTCTGCTTGAGCTGCTCCGTATGCAGACTGCGAACCCCTCACCTTTGCGGCTCACCCTGGCAGAGGAGGGAGGGGGGTCACATGCTTTGCATCAGGGTCTCTTCATGCATTCACCCCTCTGGGCTCCTGTCCATCCTAGGAGGTCATTATGTAGAACCCCAAAACCTGTCTGGGCCACCTGTGGCTGTTTAGAAGGGAAAGTGGTTCTTGGCAGTTGAGCCTATGGTTTCACACGGTCCAGGGCCCTCCGGGGAACAGGCCAGTGCCTGGGCTAGGGCTAAGCCTCAGTTTCTACCATCTACTCAGTTGTTCAGGCTTCATGCATAAGTCTCAAGCCACTATCGGAGCTGGGATCTGTAGCTTTCCTGACTGATCTTGGGCAAGTCACTTAATGTCTCTGGACCAGTTTTCTCATGTGTAAAAGTGGGATGATCAGACACCTTCCACCCTTAAGGATTAAATGAGATAATGTGTACAAACACCACTAGAGTACCTGGCATGCAATAAACTTCAGATGGCAGTAGCTGAGATCAGTGCTATTCTCAAGAGATACGGGGAGTGGTTCTGCTGGCTCCCCTGCAAGTGCAAGGTCCCGAGTTCGATCCCGCATACCAAAACAACAACAACAACAACAACAAAAACGAGATATGGGGAGCACCTGTCACGTGGATTCTGTGGGTGTGTAGAGTCCATCCTCCTCCCCACCTGATACAGGCTGTTCTCTTTCTCCTAGCCTCTGACTCATTCATTTATTCACCAACTATTTATATAGAGCCTTCTGGGTACTAGTGCAGATCTGGGGATACAACTGTGAGCAAGGCTAACCTGTCTTGTTTTCAAGGAGCCTTGAGGAGACCAGGGTTAAACAATAGTCATAGGATAAAGCACAGTACAGATCGTGATAAAGGTGGAGAAGGGTAAGTGTGCCAAGAACACATGAAGGTAGTCAGGGCTCAGGGAGGCCAAGACCTGGATGACACGGAGCCAGCTGATAAGGAGGTGCAGTAAGAACATTCCAGGTAAAGAGAAGTTAGAAAAGGCTTGTTGAGTTCGAAAAAAGTATTGAGGCCAGAGAAGGGAAGGAGATTGGTGAGAAAGGTAAGCAAGGGTTCACTATGCTTATTCTTGGTGTGTGCACTTGGGCCAGCCCCTTGATTCCTCTTGACTTTTGTTTACCCTGCTGCCAACCCCACAGAAGCAGAGTGAAGACTGAATATGGCCCATAAATGAAGGTCTTGGCCAGGAGGCATGGTTTTCTTCATCCTGCAGATAGTAAACTGAAGCCAGAGCAGGGAAGGAACTTGCTCCAGGTCTCCCAGCAGTCAGGAGTTGGAGTAAGAGTATATTAAGCGCCTGACATTTTTCTTGTCTCTCTAGTCCACTTGGTTTCGGATATGCAGAAATGGGTAACTGATGAAAAGACTAGATTGCCAGTGTGTCTAGTGAAGGCTGGTATTTCAGTTGAGGGGAGGATACTTGAGTCTATGGGTGGCCCTGTTCAAATTCATCTCCCTGCTGGGCACGAAAGGACACTGAGGACTGTCAACCAAGGAAGGACTTTCTGGTGGCTGTGCATCTCCCAGATCTCCCAGGTCTCCTATCTTGTGAGGCCCTGCCCTGGTGTCCAAGTGAGGGAAGTGTAAATGGAACAGTTCTCTTCCGATGAAAAGATTGAAAGAGCTTTTGCAGAGATGCTAGTGAGCTCACTTGAATTATTCAGAGGCTGGATGACCTTGGATGTTTTGATACAGACATAGGGCTTGTGGAAAGCAGCATTTAAACAGTCCAAAATGTTGGTGGTTATGATTTCTTGAAGAATGTTTGGGGGAGATTTATGTGGTGGCTACAGTTGAGCTGCCTGGCCTTGAGTCCCTGCTAGCCAAGAAAGTCTGAAGGTTCTTGACTGTTGATGGTGTACATCTAGAGATGCAGCTTTATCTGCAGAGCAGACACATTGACTGTGTTTGACCGTCAAAGCCCCAGTGGTCTGAGATCACCCATGACCACTAAAAGTTACCTGTCTACCATGTGGTGAGGTCAGGCTTGGAACTCACTGGTTGAGATGGAAGAATCAGAGAGCTGGAACCCAAAGCCCTAGCTTTGAGACCTGACTCTGCCATTTGCTGTATGGCAAGTCACTTGGCCTCTATTGAGTTGCTTTTTTTTCCTCATCTGTATGCTTTCCTGGACAACCTCAAAGGATTATTTTCAGCAATCAGGGAGGTATGAATAGACAAGAAAATATTTTGCAAGCAGTGAAATCCCGCATCTCATGGGGAATTGTTATTACTCTTAGCCAATGAGCAGACAGGATGTCTGTCTGCGTGTTCATTCTTGGAGGGACTAGAGAAGCCAAGAGGATGGATTTCCTTAGCTATAGAATATTAATAAATTAGGAGCTGCTCCAGGGACAACAGGAAGATGTGATTGCATTCCCTGCTGTGTTCATGGCCAGGCTCCCCACCTCCCTGGAATCACACGTGTGTTTGAGGTGCTGGCAGCCTAGATGTCTAATGAGAAGGGCCCAGAGGAAGCACTTCATTGATCCCATTTGCCATTGTACAGATGTGTAAATGGAGGCTCCAGGTCATACAGCCAGGATTCTAACCCCAGTTGGTCTAACTCAGGACCCTGTTCTTTCTACAGTGTGATCAGTGAAATGAGCTTCTGGTTGCAAGTTGGGACATGGGTTGGTGAGAGGACTCCTGTCGTGGGCCATGCTCTAGACTAAAATTTGTAGGGGGCAACTGGTACATAAGACAGGTTGAGGGCCTGAACCCTGCAGGTGGGGGTAGGGGAAGTGTGCTTGTGTCCCCGTATGAGCAGTTGTGTCTTCTGGGGGATAAGTATGCCTGCTCAGTGGTGAGGGACCCCTTCAGTGTTCAGGAAATATTAGTGTCCATCCTGGTCATCACCTTTCTCTAAACTGTTCCGCGTTCATTCGTTTGTTCATTCATTCATTCATTCATTCATTCGGTGTTTATTTTCTGAGTGCCTCCTGGATGCCAGGCTATAACACAGGCCACTGTATGTAGCTTTTCTGTTTTCACCTCCTGGACTCTGCAGGGGGAGAGATCTTCAGTGTGTCACTGGATGGGAAGAAGGCTGGTTCCTGCCCAGCCTCTCCATGGGACTCTCCTAGAGGCTGCTCCAAATCCTGGGACTCTTAAGGGTCCTCAGCTGCTTGCCTGTCACAGCAGGAGGAGATATTTCCTGCTAGATGGAAAATGTGAGGCAGTGGCTGTGTGGCCTGAGTGGATGAGGAACTCCTAGGACTGCTAGCATTCCTTGCAGAGGAGCTGGGTACACACTTTCTTGCACACCCAAATAAATGTACACATTCACAGCTCAAGCTCAGAGACCTCAGCCACTCAGTCTCACAGATTCATCCAAAGAAATGTTGATGTTGTAGGCTTCAAGAAGCATCGTGGGGGCCGGAGATTTAGCTCAGTGGTTCCACTGCTTGCCTTGCAAGCGCAAGGACCCAAGTTCGATCCCTGGTACCAAAAAAAAAGAAGCAGCAGCATCATGGCACATTGGGGA